ACACGTCCAACACAATGGGAAGCAGATCCATGCTGGTGTTAGAACACAATCTTGACCTAGTACTACTCAAAGTCAAGGCTCACCTTGGATTACGTTTAATAAAAAAGCAAAGTGCATACAGAGATTACAACAATTTTAAAGACAAAAAAAAAATGGTCCTATTGTGTGGTCCCAATAATAAACTCAAAAGTCTATGACAAATAGGATCTCCGATGAGCTGTTTGTAAATACTTTAGATTAGGTACAATTATACTGAAAGCTGAGTTCATCTGAAATCTGAAAAAAAAAGTTCCTGTTAATCCTCAAATGGTTAACATTTCTGTTAAATGCGTGCGTTGGATTATTTGTTATCCAAGCGTAGCAGCTGCTTCTTACCATTTATCATTAAGGACTTTAACTGGCCGTCTACTCTTTCTTGACCATTCTCGACAATTCTTTTTGTAGCGATTTTTCTCCCATTTACTATTTTGGTAGAAATTGATATAGATTTGAAGTTACGCATCCTGCTGCCACCAAATGATGTAGAAGAGAATGAAGTAAGGCCACCGTGACCTAGTGACCCAAATGAAGTAAATCCTGTATCAAATGCAGGAAATCCACCTCCAAATGATGGAAATCCACTGAAAGTGGAGAAAAAAGAGCCTGTACCTCGGTTTCTGCTTCCTCGGGAACCTCTTTGGTTTCCAAAAAAGTCTTCAAATGGGTCTTCAAAGAAGTCAAAGGAAAATGGGTCCCTTCCACCAAAAAATTCCCTGAAGACATCATCTGTGTTCCGGGATGTGAGGCCAAATTCAAACGGACTGTTAAAATGACTTCCACCTCCACCTCCACCATTTAAGCCTTCTTTGCCATACTTGTCATAGATGTCCCGTTTTTTTAGCATCTGATAACACCTCGTATGCCTCAGCTACTTGTTTGAATTTTCTCTCTGCTTCTTCTTTATTCTCAGGATTTTTATCTGGATGCCACTTTAGTGCAAGTTTCCGATATGCCTTTTTGATATCCTCGGGTGAGGCATGTCTCTGCACGCCTAGAACTTCATAGTAATCCACCTTGTTTTAACAGATTGTTGGAACAAGTCCCAGTGAAGCCAGATTTAAAATCAGGTAGTCAGTGTAGTTAGGTAAATCTGGTCTAATATCGAGTGAAATCTAAAATGGAGGCCATGAGAATGAATTCCCAGAAAAGCTGAGCAACTCTTGAAATGTTAATGAAGTCCCAAGAAAAGCCCTAGGCCCAAAGTCCATCCCAAAGAAATGTTAATGAACAGCCCCAGCAGATTTGAAGATAGCCCATCCCAAAGAAGTGTTAATGAAGTCCTTCCGGCCCAGATTACTTCTTTGGCCCACCTGTGTCCCACCCCTCAGGCCTTCCAACCTACATTCCATCACTGAAAGAACTATAAAAAGGAGAGACAACCGCACTTCCATGGATTCCATCTCTTGGGTCCCCTTCTTCCTCCCGGAGAAGTCTTTTCTGCTGTCCTTTAATAAACTAATAATTTCTACTCTGACCTTGCCTCGGCGTGCTTCTCTGGTGTTATTCTTCAACATTGGGGAAGCAAGGACTCGTCACTGGTCAACAGTGGTAACACCAGGATATGGCATACGGGCGGGGCGCCCCGGGAGGACGGGTGCTCACTGTGCAGCAGCTGGTGGCGAGGGCAGCAGCCTCCACAGCAGCTCTTAACTCTGCCAAAGGCAAACAACATTACAGGTTGGGTAGCAGTAACTCCAGTGAACAAGTGATTGGGACACATGAGTAGGGAGGGGCCCTCTGCACTCTTGAATAATGTTGACTATTAACCCTCATAGCAAAAATACAAAAATAACCCAAATGCCCATCACTAATGGATGGATAAACAAAAGGCATTATTGCTGGATTTCTGTTCTTGCAACTAAAAGGCTCAGGGGTCACTCCAGTTGAATTGGGCTAACTGGGTTGCGCAAAATAACCACACAAGACACAAATACCGTTTTCTTTGGGGTCACTGTGATGGCTCCTCTGACCTTAAGGGTCTGCAGGAAGAGAGAGAGAGAGCACACGCATGCACACACACAAACACAGACACACACACACACAGCGTGTGCATGCTGACCCCTTTTATTGAGGAGAAGCTATTCAAATGAGGCAAGGGGTCAGGTTTCAGGGGGCTGAGTCTTATCTTTTCTCATCTTCATGATGTCCATTGTCAGCAGGTTGACTGACATACTAGGCAAGCACTCCTACCTGAGCTGCTTACATCCCTTGCTCCAATTCATGCTTTAAATTACACACCATTCTGAATAGCTGCCTGGCTTGCAAATTATCACTTAGCCCAGTGTTTGCACTCCGTACATGCTACCTTCCCATTAGTCACAGAGTCGCCATCTCAATTATCAGATCCACTGTCATGGTTTCAGTGCTCACCTTCAAGTAAAACTTATTTTACTTTATTAAGGCCTCAAAACACAAGGCGTAGGGATTCTGCCAATTGGGACATGCAAGGAGAAGCCATAAAATGATTTCTCAAAGTGAAAAGATAAAACTTCTTGACTTAATAAGAGAAAAAAAAAATCATATGCTGAGGTTGCAAATATCTATGGTAAGAATCAATCTTCTCCACTGAAATTGTGAAGAAAAAAGAAATTGATGCTTGTTTTGCTGTCACATCTCAAACTGCAAAAGATATGGCCACATGCTTAGCGAAGATGGAAGAGACACAAAGTTGGTATGTGTTCATATACGGAGGAAAAATAAAAGGAGGTCTAGCCATGGTTTCAGGTATCCACTGGGGGGCCTGGAATGTATCCCCCTTGAGGAAGGGGGACACTGCTAAATTAGCTATTATGTTTATCTCCAGTTCATCTGAATTATTTTTTGCATACGGTATGAGAGTACAACTTCATTCTTTGCCTGTGGATATCCAATTGTCCCACTACCATGTATTGAAAAGACTATTCTTTCTTTATTGAGTTGTCTTGGCACCCTTGCTCAAAATCAATTGGTCATGGATCAATTTATAGAGTTTGAATTCTATTCCACAATCTCTATGTCCTTTTTTATGCCAGTACCACAGCTACTAGTTTTGTAGTAGGTTTGATTTGGATAAGTGTAAGTCCTTCTAATTTTGTCCATATTCAAGATTGGGGTTTTTTTTTTTTTTAAAGAATTTATTATTAAGTTGTAGTTGGACACAATATCTTTATTTTTATGTGGTTGGGGATCCAACCCAGGGCCTTGCCTGTGCTAGGCGAGCACTCTACCACTGAGCCACAACCCAAGCCCTCAAGATTATTTTGATGGTTTTGGGTTCTATGCATTTCCATATGAATTTTAAGATCAGTTTCATATCTGTCCATGGTAATAACCTAGAAGGCAAAGGCCACCTGAGCCATCTTTGTGGTCTGCTGTGTTTTGTAGCTTGTCTTGCTCGTTTGTATACATCAAAAGCTTCTTAGCAGATTTCAAGGCCTGGGTTCAATTCCCAGTACAGTAATGACAAGGACAACAACAACAACAACTTATTGAATTGAATGAAAATGTTGTACGGATTTTGATCTAGAGCTTGGAATGAATTTCCACTGGGAGAACTCTAAGTATTTGTTTTGGTCATTGTACATTGAGCTGCAAGTAACAATTAGTGGTGTCTTAAACCATAGGATGTTTATAGTTTACTGTATACCAAGGAGTATGGAGGGTAGGCAGCACATCTTGCATTTCAGCCAAGTCAGTCCTTCCTCTCCACTATTCTCAGAATTCTGGTCTTTCCTCAGGCTTGTCACCTCCTGAGTAGCAGATAGCTGCCAACCTGCCAGGCAGCATGTTCTTGGAATAGAATTCAAACTCTATAAATTGATCCATGACCAGTTGATTTTGAGCAAGGGTGCCAAGACAACTCAATAAAGAAAGAATAGTCTTTTCAATACATGGTGGTGGGACAATTGCATCTCAGAGGAGTGAAGGCTTGCATTTCTCATATCTCTCCAACAAGGACCCAATCACATGTCCATCCATAGACCAGTCACTGGGAAAGGAAAATGAGAAGACCACCACCTACTGGGAGCAACCATACAGTGTTCACTGAAGAGGCAGGGGTAGGGCAACATATCAATATATCAGTTGGGTAGCAAGAAGTCGTGCTACCTCAAGTTTAACCCTTGTGATGCACAAAATGCATTCTTGCAGGTTTGTGTAGTAACCCAGCTTGTACTATTGTTCCTTCAAAAAACTGTGTTCTTAAGCACCAAAGGGAACTTGAAGGAAACATTTGCAATACAATCCAAATCCATGGAATGATGTTTACATTTATCTTCGAAACTGTACTGATCGTAATTCCATCTTCTTGAAACTTTAAGACGTATTTTTGTAATCTTCTAGTCTGAGAGTCATTTGTGAATATACTGTCATGTTGCAGATGTTAGGAGGGATGGTAAACAGTTTACTATGAGAAAATCCAGCGGCGCTGTTAATTTGGTCGTTCTTGTGTCCTCAGAGTGGTACTGCAGGCTGCACATAAACCCCACTTCACCGCCCCGCCCCGCCTCCCATGGCTCTGGTCACGATGATGCGCCAGCAGCAGACCACTTCTCGGGTCCCCGCGGTCGTCCTGTCCTGGTCCACCGCGGGGATTTGCTCAACCAACATGAGCTGCGCGCCCACGCTGTTGCCAGGCTGTAGCTGCGTCCTGGAGAGCTCAAGGGACCCTGGGAAGATGGCAGGTCTAGCGGGATGGGCATAGGGGACCACCAAGCCAAGATTCTGACGACCTTGCAGGGTGGAGTAAGTGCGATCGCGTTACACCAATGTCAAGGGAACAGAAGGCCTCGGCCAGGGCCCCCAGGTGCAGTCGGCGCCGCCCAGGCTCCCCGGAGGTCCCGGCAGGGGCTGACCCGGCGCCCGCGGCCTCCCGGCCTGGAGACCCGGCCTCCCGCCACAGGCGTCGCTGTGCGCTCGCGCGCGGGCCCGGGAGCCGCGTTCCGCCGGGAGCTGGCGCTCGCGCCGAGCAGGGGTTTCAGTTTCTGGCGCGAACTTCCGCCGTTCGGAAGTTGCACGGAGAATTGGCGCGATGTCTGGAGACAGCAGCGGCCGCCGGTCCGAGGGCCGGGGTCGGGGCCGCGACCCGCACCGGGACCGCACCCGTTCTCGCTCCCGCTCGCGGTCCCCGTTGTCCCGCCGCGGCGCCGCGCCGGAGCGCAGGGAGGCCCCGGAGCGCCCGAGCTTGGAGGAGGCAGAGCCGTCGGATTCCGGGGACGAGATGGTGGACCCGGCTAGCTTGGAGGCGGAGACCGACCACGGCCTGTGCCGCCAGATCCGCCATCAGTACCGGGCGCTCATCAACTCCGTCCAACGTAAGGCGGCGCCTCGGGGCGGCGCGGGCCGGGGCCGCGGTCCAGCCTGCGCCGGGCGGGCGGGGAGGGGCCGCGGGCAGGTGCCGGCGCAGGCCTGGAGGCGCAGCCTCGCGCGGCCGCGCCTTCCTGTTTACAAAGTGCTCCCACGCCCGCGCTGTCGCTGCAGCCGCCCGAGCTAGCTGGGGCCAGCGGGTCCCCCATGGGCAGGCTGGAAAAGCCGGAGGCCGGACGCGGTCGGCCACTCGCCCGAGCTCAGCCGGCCAGTGGGGAGAGGACGCGGAAGCCTCTGCGCTGCGCTGCGCCCAGCCGGTCTCGGCGAGGGCTGCCCGGCCCGCAGCGACGCCCCCCGAGGACTGTCAGAAATGCACGTTATCCCACCCGACCCCGATCCACCGAATTCGAGACTCTGGGTGGGCCCGCGCGTCTGCTGCGAGGCAGGCCAAGTGACCCTGTTGCTAACAAAGTTTGAGAACCGCTCTGTAACGGAGCCCTCCTCGGAGGCTGCGCAGGAGCCCAGCCCTCGGGGTTAAGGTTAGAGGGAGCCAGGGTTTCCTTTTCAAGTTCATGCTGCTTAAAGCGTCGGGTCGCCTTTCTCCTTCCCTGCCATGTTGGTTAAAAAGGTTAAGGTTTTTGAAGTAATTATCCAGGGAGCAGGGGCCGGGTTTGGCCTTGCCACCTCAGGTGACCTACATAACTTTGTCTACTACTAACTTTGTCAAGAGCACATTGACCAAAGTTTGTGCTTTCTTAAATAGAAAACCGGGAGGATATTCTGAACGCCAGCGACAAATTAACAGAGGTCCTTGAAGAGGCCAACACTCTGTTTAATGGAGGTAATTCATTGTTTTATATATGTACTTATAAGTTTTATGATCATTTAATTAGTTTTATATAAGAGCCACATTATTCACATTATGCAGTTCCCACATTTGTAATGGTGCATTGCAAGGTTTGGAACCTTTTTCCGTATAGCAACAACACTATTTCCATTGTGCACTTGCTAAGCATATGCACTAAGGGATTCAGGTGACATTCTGGGTCTGGGTCCCACAGTCTGTTTTAACAAGCTCCTCCCCATGGTTCTGTTGCCTGTTCCCAATTTGAGAGCTTTACATGTAAATCACATTTGTTGAATGGGTGAATTAAAGAAAGGAGCTAGCCCCTGATGTCCTATTTCTTTTCCTGTTCCCTTCCTAGTCTCTTTTCGCCCAGCTGTCAGTCCTTCTATAACCCAGTGGAGGTGGCCATGTTTGCTAGTACACCTGTTGACCTCCAAGGAGGAGAGGGGAATTTAGAGCACTGAACTGGACTGGGAGCTTTAAAAAAATAATCTTAGATTGAATTAAAAGTAACAAAAGTGGTTGTGGTAGCAGTGGTCTGTGTTCAACGACAGGGCAGGTGGGGGTCACAGAGTTCCAGGACACTCTTCAGACACTATCTCCCCAGACCCCTCCTACAGTTCTGTGGGAATACAAAGGGAGAAGGTAGACAAAAATCAGGGTAAGAGTCAACAGAACTGGCCCTGACATCCCAGTTCCTCATTTTCTTCATGGACTGGAATACTTACTTCTAGTCATTTCCTTGCATGGCTAGTGGCTTCAGTGTTGTCACCTTTAACACTTCCTGTTGACATGTTCTCCAGTTGTGTCTTTTGCGCTGACTGTGGTACCACTGACTCCCCTTCTTTGTCTGCCACATTTGCTAAATCTCATCAGACCCTTCAGGAACCAGGTTCTCCTCTTTCAACTGGATGAATCCCTCCTCCACCTCTAGCTCATCTCCCTCCCCAGCCTGGCCCATTCTCCTCACTGCTATCCCCGATTCATTGACTCCCTTGATATTTGCTGTGCAGCTATCCACATGTCCTTTCCTCCCTGAGTTATTTCCAATATTTAAAGCAGAAATTTAAGGCAAAGTTATTCTCTCAACTGGACCCTAGAAGTCGCCCTAGAAATATAATTTTATTTTCTATACACTCATGGATGTGATGCCTCTGTTTTAAGTCTTTAGAGACTGAGCAGGCGTCCGTGACATGATATTTGCGCTTTTCTTGCGGTGTGCAGGGGGCTGGTGGGTGAGGCAGACAGAGCCCAGGAATGATTTACCCAGGAACAGCATCTGCCTCTGCTTTGCTCCTCCTCACTGTCACTTCTGTAGTGACTCCCGAAATGATTAAAAACCTTTCCTCTGAGAACAAAAATGATGGATAAGAACAAAAACTGCAGTCAACAGGTTCTCCAGCCACGTCTTTGCTGTTTTTGTGAGGATTGTTCAGGAAAGCAGTGCTTCAAATGAAGTGGCCTCGAGGAGCAAGCTGGGCACCAGCATTTCTGTATTTGAACTTGGCTGAAATGGTCTCTTCTCAGCTCCTTTGCAGGCATTCCCAAACTGCTTTTTCATGCTCTCTGTCACCCACAGGGTGTGTTAAGCCCAGCCCCCCCAGCCTGGCTGTTTCCTCCATTTGAACCCTCATCTCCCCGAACTTCATGTTTCCCCTACACGTAGTGGACATTCGACTTGACTTATGTCAGCACAGGTGAGAATAGTGATTTGAGTCAAAGGAAAAAGTGAGTGTTAGACATGACAGAGATTTTTGTTAAACTGGGGTTGTTAAGAGATTGTGGTTCAGTTACCTGGAGCATGAACTAGATGGAAAGCAGACTTTTAGAAGATTGGTCAGTTTGGATTGAGATTTTGGTGAGGTGGGCAGGGGAACCAGTTTTAGAAGATTGAACCATTTTCAGCTTTTTGAGTTTAAAAAAAAAAAATTTTTTTTTAACCTCGGTGGGATATTTTAGTAAGTAGTTGAAAATTTGGGGGATATCTGTCAGTAATGTGTATATTTTCCTTCTTTTCTCAATAGTGTCCCGAGCAAGAGAAGCAGTCCTAGATGCCCAGTTTCTTGTTCTGGCTTCAGATTTGGGCAAAGAGAAAGCAAAGCAGCTGCGCTCAGATTTGAACTCGTTTGATATGTTAAGATATGTTGAAACTCTAGTAAGTTCAAAGCTATCAAATTTTAATGTGTTTTTGTCATATAATTACTTGTTTGGCTTATATTAATCTAAAATTGGTTTTCACTTCATTTTCCTTTTTTTCTTTTTCTGGTCTCAGAATCCTCTAAAAAGATCTTGCCAAATTAAACAGATGAAAGCAGAGCTATGTGGTGGAATCTGGAGTAGGAGCTTAGAGCAGTTTGAAAATATCTCAGTGTTCTGAGGCTCTGGGTGCGAAGTTATCCATTTATGGCCATGTCCTCAGTCACTTCATCATTGTCTAGATCACTCTCCAGAACCTGGGGCCCTTGTCCTGGGCTGGGCTCTCACTGCAGGGGGCAGAGCTCAGCTGGAGATGTTTGGTCTGGTGAAGAGGCATATTTTGGTCTGTTTTTGAGAATATTTTAGAATCATACAGATATGACTACATTTTTTTTTTTGTTTTGTTTTACTTTACCCATTTTTCTTTGCCTCTTAACAAATTTAAATACTTGTTACCTGAAATTTTAAGACTTTTTTCATGGATTTACTGAAAAAAGTACACTGAGATTAACCTTGTATCTTGCTCTTTGTTTTGTTTTATTGTACTCTGAGTCAGAGCCTCTGTATAGATGCACATTAGTATGAATATAAAATTTCTGACTGGGTGTTTATGTTAAGTGATTATTAAAATGATTTAGTATTGTGAGATCCAACTAGATACAGTGACAATTTTGTAAAGGTTTGAGGCAAGTCAATTATTTCCAGTTTGTAGTTTTCAAAACCTTAAAATGTTCTTTTTTCCTTAAAAAAACCCTTTTTTTTGTGTGTGTAAAATATAATGCCTCTAGGAAAAGGCACGCTAATGTATAGCTGAATAATGTGACCATATATTGGATATTTTTAAAATTATTTTTTAAGAATTCAGATTAAATTTTGTACCTTAAATGTCATGTCATAATTAATCCAGAAATTTTAAGGCAGTAAATATAAAACCTTAAATTAATATTTGTCTAGACTCTGGTTGGGGAAAGCCTTCCCAAGTACAAGATCAAACACAGACACTCTATGGAAAAAAACTAGTAGATCTGACCAGACGACAATTGAAACCCCTCCCACATGGGTAGGGTTGGACTGGGCTGCAGGAGAATGGAGGAGCACTGACCAGGCTCTCGTGGTCTTTCTTTGCTTTAAAGTTTGGTTGCCTTTAATAAGATGAAGCTCCTCAAGGGCTTTGTGATTCTTGTTTACATATGATATTTCCATTTTAATTTAATAATGCCTAGACATTTTACAGCAAAATGCAATAAAAGTGGTCTCTCATAAAAGTTAATACATTTTCTGTAAGAAACTTTGAGATGACAGAATTGACTTCTGCCAACTCTTCCCAGGACCATGAGCAGTTCTCTCACTGCTGCTCTCTGTGTTTACTCAGGTTCTAGCTGGATAACGAGCTCTAAGAAACTGGCAAAATATTAAAATCTGAAAGCCAGGAACCTCCCTTTGAGTTGTGGAGTTTTTGATTTGGGATGTGATTTGAGATATTGATGCTAGTACAGCTTGCTGACAACTAGTTGTGGTACAAGACTCCCCAGGGGGGTCCAGTTCTTTTAGCATTCTTGAACCCTAGCCTGCCATGGGCTGCAGCAGGCTTTCTCAGCTTGGCGTTTGGGGCTGGATGAGCCTTTGTTTTGGGGGCTGTACTGTGTATTGTAGGACGCTGGGCAGCCTCCTGTCTTCTACCCAGTAGATGCAGTAGCACATGGGCTATGATAACCAAAAATACTTCACTATTGCCCAAAGTCCCCTGGAGGCAGAATCATCCTGGTGGAGAACTACTGGTTTAAATCATGGCATTTCTCACCCAGAAGTTCTGAGTACATTGAGGGATATTTTCTGCCAAAAAAATGGTACCTTTGAGTAGGTTTTATATATAACACTGTTTTTATCATAAGAAATTGCGTCAGCATGTTGAGATGCTGGAGACAGGCTTGCCTCTGCTTCTTAGGGTTGTGCAGATTACTGTGGTGAATGACTGCTTGTGGCTTAACTGGGGCTTTTTGTTTTCCTTCGTTTTTGTAGCTGACACATATGGGTGTAAATCCGCTAGAAGCTGAAGAACTCATCCGTGATGAAGATAGTTCTGATTTTGAATTCATAGTCTATGACTCCTGGAAAATATCAGGCAAAACAGCAGAAAACACCTTTAATAAAACCCATACATTCCACTTTCTGTAAGATTATTTTAAAAAATCCAACAGACCAGCCATTTGTAAACCTTAAATTGTTTTTTATTGTAGGCACAAAGATTATTTGGTATTGTAGAGGTGACAGTCACAATGCCATTGTTTGGAGACTTTCTGAACTTTGACTTCAAAGTCCATAGACTCTTAGTAGAGAAGGAACCTTAAGGATCTCTCATCCTACTTTACCAGGAAAGGCCACAGGACACAGTCTCCTCGCTAAGGCTCTCTCCTGGTGTGTTTGCTTTCTAGCTCAGGGGACTTTGGGTCTGTAGCATATTTGGTTTCATTTTATCCTCTCTCAAATCCTTATCATGTAGGAGGATGAGTGATTCTCTCACTGATGCTCTCTGGATTTACCCAGGGTATCTTGAGATTCTAGCAGTATGTGTCAAGGACCACTATTAAGAGTATCCTATTGGGTGATTGCTGACCTATATTTGGCTACTACTTGAGTCATTCTCATATAAACTGCCCAGTTGGTGTTTTAGTTACAACCTTAAGAAAATAAAAAAAAAAAAAGAAATGAAATTGGCCTGTCTTCCACCTGTAGCTCTGACCTGTGGAGAAACCAAGAACAGCCCATGGTGGATTTTTTTTTTTTTTTAAACAGCCCTTAAACCCAGTGGGCCTGTTCCCTGTAGGTACTTTCTCTAGAGTAAACTTCTGAGTCGTCTCAGTCCTTCCTAAAGTGTGTTAGTTCCTAGACATTTGCCTTGAAATCTCCTGAGATTGGTAGTGTCTCAGTTAGAAGGCTTTGGAGATATGGACTGTAGTTGGTCATGGTCCAAGGCCAGGCATTGGACCATGTTTGTAACAAGTGTTAGGTAACTCTGGTGCCCATAGCTGTTGTGTATATTATAGGATAAATTCTGAATCTTTGATTTTTTTGCTGTTGAGTGCCAAGTTGTCATAAATTCTAGCATCTAAAGATGAAGCCCTAAACTTAATCTCATCAACTAGCACAGCTTCTAGCCACAAAGACGTGCTTACAACTCTGTGCCCTTGTACTTGCTGTGCCCTTGTACTTGCTGTGCCCTTGGCCTCTGATGTCCTTTCTCCTACCTTTTCCACCTAGCAAGGTTTACTTATCCCACAGGCCCCAACCTGGAAGCTTTCTGTGGGAACTTCTTCAGAGGAGTTACCAGTATAGGATCAGATTTCCCAGCCAGATCACTCCTATGTTTGGGTAGAAATCTCTGCCCATACTTTCTTACAGCACTTGAGGAACATACTAAGCAGCACTGTAGGCTCTACCCCATTATGTTGAAATGGACCCTTGTGAGTAAATAAATGTCTGTTCATCTATAACATACACTTTCATCTCTGCAAGAGTGATCACGGGGGTCTGACTACTTGGGGCCTGGATCTCTATCTGATACATCTATTACTGTACCTCAAGTTCTGTCTCAAAAGGAAAAGAATCCCGTGGCCTTTCCGTGACCCTTTTTCCTTACGGTGTATTCTATAGTCACAGGCTCTGAACCTCTGCCCTGGCGCTGCTAGATCAGGCTTGTGACCCCATTGGAGGGGTTTTGTTCCCCTTGTCCACTTGTTCATCTTTCCCTGATCTCAGAAGTTGGCTCTGACAGACAGACAGCAGGCTTGCTGGGAAGACTTCATAGCCACTCACTGGCCTATGGTTCAGAGCACTGTGCATGTGCTTGAGATGTGTGGTTGAGCAAGTTCCTAGGAGCCCTTTTAGAAATACAAAGGGAGTGCAAAGGATGTCACAACCTTATTGAGAGTCTTGGTCTCACATCAGCTCATTTATCACTGATGCCTGGTCTGAATTTGATTATACCATGCTGACTACTTTTAGTTAGGAAATTAGTTTGTTTAAAAAACAAACAGAAAAAGACATGAAAGCGTATTTTTCATTAGGTTGGGTTCAATACAAGGAGAGCTCCCTGTGCCAAAGCCACGAATCGATCGTCCAAGAAAACATCATATGATAGAAGAGCAGAGAGCAATGCCTGCTCAGGTTTGTTTTTTCAAATGTTGCTTTTATAACCACCTTAAGTTAAACTAGTCATTAATATAATGTACCTACAATAGGTCATGTTTTCTAAATGTTAGGGATCGGAGTCAGCTTTTACCGTTTAATCATTTTATTTGAGTTGTTAAACATTTTAAGAGATTGGCCAGTTTTGATCAGTTCTTCTGAACCAGGGTTTCTTTACCTCAGTGCTGGATAATTCTTTGTTGTGGGGAAAGAAATGCCAGTGTTCTGGACATTGTAGGATGTTTAGCAGCATCCCTGGCCTTTATCAAGTAGCTGCCAGTAGCACCTCCAGCACCATTATGATATCCAAAAACATTTTCGGGGAAAGATTGCTTCCAATTGAAAACTACTGTTCAAAACTGTTCTGTTTGTATTTTACTGTTTTATGTTCAACCTGAAAATTGCAGATTTGGTAATGTTACTTTTCTACTAAGATATTAATAGAAAAATGTTGCTAAAACTAGAAAAATATTGTAACTAAAAAATTTAAGGCAGGAATAAAAACTGGCAATCCTCAAAAAAAAAATTTTAAAGAGTTTAGGTGTAAAGGAGAAGAAAAGATTGTTAGCTGTCAAGGATCACTGAATTTGATAATGCCTTTTGTCTTTTTCTAGTTGAAAAGAATGGAAGAATCTCATCAAGAAGCAACAGAAAAAGAAGTGGAAAGAATCTTGGGATTGTTGCAAACATATTTTCGAGAAGACCGTAAGTATGACACCAAATGAAAAATGGAACAATTAGTATTTATCAACACATGTCACTTTCAACAAGGCTATTTTTATTTAAAAGGCGTTTTCAGTTGTATATAATCTTTTGAATCATTTTGACTTTTTCTTGTTGTATGTATTTCTTCCCTTTAGAAAACCCCCTGTGAGAATGTTGTTGAAGTAACTTATTTTTATCTTTAAAAGATGGGGTATTTTAAATGGGTGCAGTGGCCACACGTCTGTAATCCCAGTGACTTGGAGGCTGAGGCAGGAGGATTGCAAGTTCCAAGCAAGTCTCAGCAATTTAGCCAGGCTCTAAGCAACTCAGTGAGACCCTGTCTCTAAATAAGATATTAAAAAAGGGCTGGGGAAATGGCTCTGTGGTTGAGTGTCCCTGGGCTCAATCCCCGCTACCAAAAAACTAAAGGCCGGGTCGGTATTTTAGTTGGGGGTGGTGGTGCTTGCCTGTAATCCCAGCAGCTCAGGAGGCTGAGGCAAGAAGATCCCAAGGTCAAGGCCAACCTTGGTGACTTAGTGAGATCCTGTCTCAAAATAAAAAGGACAGGGGATATGGCTCTGGGTTCAATGCTGCAATAACATAAAAAACAAAAACAAAAAGTGAAAGGTAAGGGTATTACAAATGTGCCATAAAAGTGGGAGAAGTGAAAAACCAAGTCCCTCTATTGCCTCTTCTGATTTCTCAGAGGTAGCCGTTTGTAAAATATGATATGCTTATTTCCATGTTATTTTCTGTTTATGTTAGTCATAAAAATGCATGTAGTTTTTTGTTTTTTCAAAGCTGATCACAATATATGCATCCTTCTGCAATCTTGACTTTTTGGTGTGGATATTCTTTCCTGTCAGTACACACAGATCTCCCTTATTCTTTTCAATGATTCCCACCTTGTGGCTTTGTCATAACTATTCAGTAGAACTCTATTAATGCATAAGTTGTTTATTACATTTTACTATTACATTAACTGCTGACGTGAAAAGTTGTGTATGTAACTGTGCACTTGTGCTGCTATTTCTGTAGGATGGCTTTTTAGGGGAGGGTTGCCAAGTCAGTAGTCATACTTGTTTTTAATACATAAGCCCAACTGACCTCTTGAAGAGTTGTTTACTTGTACTCCCACAGCAAGTGTAGTGCTCTTTCCTTTGTCTCTGGCTAAAAATAGAATGTGGGTCTTATTGGTAAGTAAAAATCATTTTTCCTATTCTGAGGAATTTTTTCTTTCTCTTATAGCTGATACTCCAATGTCCTTTTTTGACTTTGTGGTTGATCCACATTCTTTCCCCCGTACAGTGGAAAACATCTTTCATGTTTCCTTCATCATACGGGTAAGATTTAAGATTTATCTAATTGCTTTTATATGCTTTTAAAAGGATAGGTAAGCCGAGCACAGTGGTGCACACTTGGGAAGCTGAGACAGGAGGATCACAAGTTTGAGGCCAGCATTGTCAATTTAGCAAGACGGTCTGAAAAGAAGAAATGAAAAAGCCCAGGGATGTCCCCTAGTGGTTGGGCACCTTTGGGCTTAATTCCCAGAATTGGGGGGAGGAGGGAAGGAGACATAATAGAAGCTATAGATGGGAGCTTGCAAAGTATGTATATATTAGACCTGTTGTAGCAAAACATTATTTGGTATGTTATATAGAAGAAGCTAGTTAAAAATTTGTGTGCTTACTTTTACATTTTAGAAATTACAGGTTGAAAATCCTTAATTTGAAAATTCAAAATGCGCTAAAATAAGAAAAATTTTGAGTGCTGACATAATGTCACAAGTGGAAAATTCCAGCACTGACCTCATGTGATGGGTTGTAGGTACATTGAAGGAATCGTATAAAATTATCTCAGGATATGTGTGTAAGATATATATGAAACATAAATGAATTTCATGTTTAGGCTTGAGTCTTATTCCCAAGATATTTAATTATAATATACAAATATTCCAAATCTGGAAATATCTGAATTCTGAAACACTTCTGGTTCTATGCATTTTGGATAAGGGATACTCAACCTGTGTTTAGAGAAAGAATTGTCAAAGTTTGGATATGGAACTATAGATTGGATAAAGTTAAGGTAAATTTCCTGAGTTTAATTGACGTGTTTTATAAGAGAATGACCTTATTCTCAAGAAATACTAAAGAATTTGGGGAATAGGGCTGGCTATCATTCTCAAATCATTCATACATAATACTAATATATAATAGAGATGGTGATAAAGTAAATATGACAAATTAGTGATTAAGTAAATGTTAACAATTGATGAATATGGGTAAAGGATATGTGGGAGATCTGTACAGTAGTCTTATAATTCTTTTATTTATTTATTTTTAAAATATTTTTTAGTTGTTGATGGACCTTTATTTTATTTGCTTATTTATATGGGGTGTTAGGAATTGAATCTAGTGCATCACACGTATGAGGCAAGCTCTCTACTGAGAGATTCAACTCCAGCCCCAGTTTTAACCCTGAAGTTATTCAAATAGGTCTTAAAAAACTCCTGAATGTACTGTTTGCTTCAGACTGACTTATAGCTTTAGGTTACACTGCTACACATGTAAGATGAATTTGATTTTAACCTTAGACAAAAGCTTGTATTTATTTTTTCAGAAATAACAAAGGCATATTTTGTTAGTAGTCTCAATGACAGAATCGTGCATAACAAAAATTGAAATATCTATAATAAAATATGTTGGTTAAGGAGATAAGACAGAGTTTTCCTTAAGAGATTCTCAGGATGGAGACTATGTCTGGTAAAAGAGCTGCTAAGAAACCTGAGTGATACCCTATTGTAAAGAAAGATGTTTGAGAAGTCTGTCCATATCATCTCATTATTGTTGGTATGTATTTTGATTATCTAAGACATAGATTTTTTTCTAATTGAATAATTTGTTTTCATCCAATTGTTACAGGTTTTAGTATAAATTTTGGTCTTCTCCTAAAATCATATTTTTGTTTTAGGATGGTTTTGCAAGAATAAGACTTGACCAGGACCGACTGCCAATAATAGGTAAAGATTTTATGTTTGGAAAAGTTAGTTTTAGAGAAAATATATTTGCTATTAGAGTTGATGAAATGTATTTTATAAAGTGTAAATGGGTTTTCATTGTACATAACAAATTTTGGCCATGTTGTACACTGTCCAGCTATAACTGGAAAACATGGCCACGGATGTAAAACTTTGATAGATTCACCTGTCATTGATTGAACATCTGCTAAAGATTAACAAAATGGATAAAGTTTCCCTTAAATTTAATTTAGGAAGTTTGTAATTGTCATTTTTGTAGTTTCCTTCTTCTTACCACTTTTCTGCGAGGGCCAGCTTCTCCTCCTCCCCTAAACTTTCATTCTTACTTCACATCTTCTATTACTCATGTCCTTCTATGTTCTCTATTAGAGAGTCAAGTCCTTTCATTGAACTTGTTACTTTAAACTTTCTTAATTTCATTTTGGATTCACAAGGGCTTAGTATTTTGTTGGTACATAAATATGTGTAAGTTTTCTAATGTTTGAAATAAATTTTTAAAATGGAGGCAAATGGGATTACTTGCTACTGTTAACACTACTATAGCAATTTAATAAGGTATGGAATCCTAATAATATGGACTAAGTATTTTTTACTAAAGGTTTCATTTCTATTATTCATCAGTTGCTATTCAGATTACCTATTCTGATTTGATAACCTTTGAAAACTTTTGTCTTTCAAACAGAACCTGTTAATATTAATGAAGAAAGTGAGGGAATTGACCAAAACACCCAAATTAGGAATCAAGGAATTATAGCTTTGAGTTATCGAGACTGGGAGGTAAAGATCTGCATGTTGTGCCTGTTTCTGACTCTAACTCACTTCCTGTGAACCCACTGCCCAAACGTTCTTTCTTCCCTGCCAGGAGATTGTGAAGACCTTCGAGATTGCCGAGCCTGTGATTGCTTCGGGTCAGAGCCGGGAGAGGCTGAGTGCTTGATGCCAGCTGAAGGTAACATGTTCCGCGGGACAGCTGTGTGGTTTTACCACAGTTTATTTGGCAATCCAAGCCATACTTTCTCCCCATGCCAGTGAAATTTGGGTTTTGCCTCCCTCTAGTGCCTCATCCTGGAACTGAGTAACTGGTGAAAAAGGTAGAGGCAGCATGTGGGGTGGAAGTCCCCTTCTCTGGGCTGCTTACCTTGGTATTGGTTTGCAGCTACAAGCAGCAGCACAGGAGAGTTTGTTCTTGCTTTGGCTTTTTTTCCCCTAACAAACTGATGTTAGAAAATTCTTAACACGCCCCCCCCCCCCCCCCCCCAGTGTTGTTCACTGTCCCATTGGGTACAAGGAAGAAAAGGAGGATTAGGACAGAGTTACTGTAGAATGTTGTTAGTAAATGGGCATTTCTGAAACCTGAATTATGCTATGAAGTAATCCTTCATTTTATGAGGGGGAAGATTTCTAGATAGAAATCTTAGAAGTGATCTGGGATTCTATACTGTAAACAGCTGTGGGTAGGAAGCAGAACTAGAATCTGCTGGCTCTGCCCTACTTTAAACCTGTAGGCAAGTCACTTCATCTCAACTGTATTTTCCTCATCTGTACGTCTCTAGAAAATTGAGGAGTTTTTGAATTAGATAATTAGTGTTTTTTTTCCCTAGCTTCAATTTTCTATGCTTTTGAGAATTAAAATGAGATTGTTTAGTACTTAATGTAACCTCTTAATATGTACTTCAATTAATTGAGCTTCTTTCATTCTAATATTTGCTGTCAAAGTATTTTTGAAGGAAAGAGGTGAACAGATATTAACCTGGGACCTATTTACTAGGAGGGGCTAGTTGTTATATTTCACTTATGTATAGTTCATAAACTTTCGGTTTATCATTTATAAACTGTTTACCAGCTGTTTTTCCTCCCTTTTAGGACTCAAATGGATAGTGAAATCTGAAATGGAAAGCAGCATGTATTGTATATATTGTATGATTAAACATTTTTAAAGACAGATTGTTTTTAGTAAAATGTAGCTTTTGATAGTTAATTAATTTGTCATGATTGTTTTTGAATAAAGGAAATTCACTGCCATATTCACAAACTGTTGTGATCTTTGTTTTATTCTTATTTTCTCTTCATGGGAGAGTTTCTCCTTTTCCAGTTTCCTCCCATTGGAAATTCTAGGTTGTTAATGCCTGTGGATCATTAGTTAACTGGTCAAGTCAAATAAATAGGTTGCTCCATATGGAGAGGTTGTTATTTCAGGTTAAAAATGGTCAAATGCCAGCAATTTCATATGACTGAGCCCAGGGTTTACACACCAGGGACCATTAAGTCCTCTGGAAAGCCAGGCTGGACCACTGTTCCCAGCAACAGCAATGTTAGATCAGTCCTGCTCCATGCATTGGACTCTGCTAGGCTTTCAAGTGTGCCTGTGGTATTTTCTAGGATTCTTTCTCCCATTTCCCAACTTTCTACTTTCATCCTTTCTTGGTCTTTCCCTCCAGTGTTAGGGGTAGAAGTGTCTCTTTGTAAGGCTCTGGTTCTAGCTCTTCCTGCCTCCCAGGGGACACTGTTCTATCAGTTATCCCCTCTTCCTGTACCTTGTTTTCCTTCAAATACTCTCATCTTAACCAAAAAGTTACTGTGGCCCTCCAAGCTACCATCCTACCTCTTAAAGAATCACTTGAGGTCTCCTTTTCTGTCCATTCTCAAACCATGACAGACTGGTACCTCCTTTTCCACCAAACTTCTGTTGTGTCACTTTTACTGATTTCTTTCCAAATTAATCCCAGTGGATAAATACTGTGCATTTGACATGTGAAACTACATCCTTGATGATTGTTCCTTCCCCAGTTTCCCTTCTACCATTTTGCTGTCTTGATTTCTATACATTTAAAGCTGAGTGCTCAGAGCCTGTAATCCCAGTGATTCAGGAGGCCAAGGCAGGAGGATTGCAAGTTCAATACCAGCCTCAGCAACTTAGTGAGATCCTGTGGTAAAGTGCCTGTGAGTTTCAATCCCTAGTAACCCCTGATTCCCCAAAAGGTGGAACTTATGTTTATATCCTGAACAGTCTCAAAACTTTTTTTTTTTGAGGATTTTTTTAATATTTATTTTTTAGTTTTCGGCAGACACAACATCTTTTGTTTGTATGTGGTGCTGAGGATCGAACCCGGGCCGCACGCATGCCAGGCGAGCGCGCTACTGCTTGAGCCACATCCCCAGCCCCAGTCTCAAAACTTTTTTGATTCATAAACTTCTTGACAAAGCCAGATATACTTACGGCACATGGGCTGATCTAAACATATAAGTAACAACCCCACCTGCCCCAAGTCGTCATCTTATTCCACGTCCTGGCACTTTGACCACATTATTTCCTCAGGCAGAAGCCTAGGATTTCTTTTTCCTTGTAACCCCTGTCTTACCACACCTTAATCAGTAACTAATTCCCACCTGGACTCTCCACTTTGCCCAGGTTGTGCTACAGACACATATGGCATCTACTGCTTCCTATCTATAAAAACCAAGATTTCTTCCAGACTACTCATCAATTTCTTAGTGATTGTTCACTGCCTTTAAGATTTTTAAAAAGTTATGTTCAAAGCCTTGCAGGATCTGACCCTTTGTCTACATTTCCAGGCTCACTTCCTGTTCTTTAAACTCCAGCATTTCTTTCTTTTCTTGTTAAGCATCTTTATTGAGATACAATTCATCCACTTAAAGAGAACAATTCAGTGTTTTAAAATTATGGGTTGTGCAACCATTGCCATAATCTATTTTGGAACCTTCTTTTGTCCTCTTCCACCATGCGACCAGCGCACTGGTTTCATTAATGAGGTTCTTGGCAAAAAAGTTAACTAGTGAGATCGAAATAAACACACAGACTCAGTTACCTTTTTCTATGACCAGGTCCGAGACGGCTCCCCCTCTGGTTCCCATCTCGAACCACCTGGTAGGGCAGCAAGGATTACTCAGGGCTAGCAGGAGAGAGAGAGGGAGCACGCCAGGGAGTAGCCTTTTATTGGGGAACAAGAAATTCAGGGGAGAATTCCATCCAATGAAGGTTGAGGGGGGCCGCACTCCAAGGTCAGGGTCAGTGATTGGCCCCAGGGGTCAGTGGTCAGTCACACCCCCACACGGACAGGCTCTGGCACCAGGAGAGGGCCGGGAAAGCTCTGACACAGTTTAGCCAGAGTGCCTCAGACCCAAACCGGGAGTTGCCCAGTCACGTGTGAGAATGGCTCCCCACAGTCCTCTGAAACCCTGTACCCAATCAGCCATCACTTTCCCTAACTCATCTAACTTTCTTATCCCTTAGCTCTAACCAACCACTACCCTACTTTCTGCCTACAAATTTGCCTTTTCTGGACATTTCACATAAATGGAATCATACACGTAGAACCATAATTTTCAAGTATGCATGGTGAGTTGCTTTTTCATTTGTCTACTTTCTACAATTTTACTTCAATAATTGCTATAAAATATATAAAAATGCAGTAATCAAAAAATAATTTAAACTCTATTCCTTTTTAGTTGATTTCTCAGAAAAGGTGGCAAACTCAAGAACTCCCTTCGGAGTGGTTTTTGAATTTTATCTTCTTTCGATTTTTCCCTCAGGATGCTCACTTCTATGCATGATTTCTGGTAAGGCTGGAAGATAGGATAAGCTGTGACCCTTTCAAACACTCTCTCCTCCTTCTCCACTTGAGGTTTTAGGAGAGGAGAAGTTTGACTGGAGAGCTTCCAAGGTTCTCTTTGATCATTTCTTTGCTCTGAGAGTTCTCTTCCTCTAATCATTTGATCTTTATGTCCCTTCATCTGATTCTTTGCCCATGCTACCTTGTGCTTTCCGGTTTTCGTTTTGTGTGTTTTCTGGATATCTTCATTCTTTTCATCCTCCAGTGTTAATATTTTTGGGAAAAGCATTTCACTTGGAAGTTTCTGAGGGAGCAGTTGATACTTTTGGTCTCTGAGGCCCCTTGCTCGTTCGGCTCGGTATATGTGTTTCTCTATGTGATTTAGCTCTCTTTCAGACACTAGATAATCCCACGCGTTGGCATCTTCCGACTTTTCGCTTTGTGATCTCTTCTCCTCCTCCTCTGTTTTCATAATCTCCCACTTTGGAACCATTTTGTAGTCCCATGCTTCTTCCATCATCATTTCTTGATATCGTTGGTAGTAGTATTCCTCTGCTTTAGCAAACCGGAAGTCAAAAGATGTGGCCTTAAGTTTAGCAAGTGCTTCATTCTCCTGCTGAAACTCTTGGGCTTACAGTTTTTTCACTCCTGAAGAATGGATGCCACCTAAATTCTTGTCAAAGGGAGTAATTAGATTTTTTAAGTCAGAAGTCTTTTATTCTAGTTCCATACTACAGATCTCAAGCAGGCTACTACCCTGCCTGGCACACCAATACTGTGCTCCATTTAGGGTCCTTAACCATGCGTGGTTTATGTTTTCATCATCAAACCTCCTATACTCCCCTCCCTTCCTGCAGTATTCCCTTGTTGAGGACTCTGCCTTAGATTTCCTTGAGAGAATGGAAGCAGTCACCCAAGAGCATCCTCCTCTTCCCACTGCCAAATCATGGCCGCCCTAGACTGCCTTCCTGCCTCCACAGTGGAAACATTGCCCCTTGCCTATCAAAAGACCATTCTTCTACCTGTGCTTTTTGAACTTTAAGAATTACAATTTTCCTTTCCTATATCATTAAAATCTCCTTTTTACTGGATAAAAATATGCTTCAGTATATCATCTTTAAACAAAAATGGAAGCCTTCCTTTACTGTATTTCCCTCTCTGTTTTTTTTTTTTTTGGTACTAGGGATTCAACTCAGGGGCACTGGACCACTGAGCCCCATCCCCAGCCCTATTTTTGTATTTTATTTAGAGACAAGGTCTCACTGAATTGCTTAGCACCTTGCCCTTGCTGAGTGAGGCTGGCTTTGAGTGATTCTCCTGTCTCAGCCTCCGGAGCCGCTCAGATTATAGGCATGAACCACTGCGCCCTGCCCTCTCTGGTTTTTATCCCCACTTTTGTTCACCTTTCCATAGTACGCCGTGGACAAGTCACCTATAATCCCTCTCCAATTGCTGAACTCATGTTTTCTCCTCAGATTATTTCCACTGAGTTTCCATCCCCTAGTGCTTCTCATACTGTTCTTGTTGAGGTCACGATTGGTCTCCAAATAGAAAATTTAGTGGGCTCATTTCTGTTCCTATCATAATTGACCTCTCAGCAGTGTTTAACTGTGAGACTTTTCACTTTCTTCTCCTTTCAAGCTGCCAAGGACATGTGACTAAGGAAGGTTATCCTGAAATCCTCGACCATCCTAGCCATTTGCTGAGTATCCCCAAGTGACTGAATATCCTGATTGTCTTCCCACCTTATAGCCCATTCCTCTTCCATCTGCCTTGCTGGTCTGTTAAATACAACAGAGGAAACTGTAACTTGAGATACAGCATGGTCACACTTAGGCTTCCTTGGATAGGGATGTTTCATTCAACAAGGTGACATACCATGTGTCAGGAGTGAGAATAAGGGTGAATGAGGGGCAAGCCACACAGGCAAGGCACTGACCTGCATCGGCTCTCAACTTCAGACCTACCTAGTCACTGTGTATTGGACAGACATCTCCACTTGCTTCTTCCCTCAGTTTTCACCTTCTTAATCATCTTTAATTTGAAAATACCCCTCTCATCCATGTTTCATTTCAACCCTGATGACTTCACCCTCGAGTATATCCCCAGTTTTTTTTTCCAAATCTACACTTATTTCCTCTGTCCCCATGCCCACCAGACTGATTAATGCAGCCAGAGTGATCTTTTTGTTACATAATTCTGTCACTCTGGCATAAAACCCTGGGGTAGGGCTCTGTTGGTTTTCGGAGAAGATCCCAGATTCTAGTATGGTATCTATGACCTGGTGCCTGAGGCCCTCGTCTCCAGACAACTTTCTCAGCTCACTACTTGTTCACTCTACTCCAGCCACACTGGATTCTGTTCCCTGTGAGTATTTTCACTTTCTTCATCTCATCCTAAACATATATATGAGCAACTCTAACCAGAGTACTTGCATCTACAGTTTTTAGATTTTGGTTTATGTGTCAACTCCTCAGACCTTCTGTATGCTCACCAGAGAAGACCCAATCCTTTTGTGACAATCACAATCTGTGATTACTGATTGCTTAATGTCAATGTTCCTCACTAGACTAAGTGCCATGAAGGCATGAGTGGCATTTATTTTGTTCATTGCCCCACTAGAACTCAAAGAATCAAATGCCAAACTAAGCAGGCAACGCACTTTGCCTTGAAATAGGCCTTTTTTCCTTTTCTTTTGGCCTCTAGGCTAAAAGTGTTATCCTATTATTGAATCCAAAGTTCAAGGAAAATGTGTTTCCTCACCTTAATCCTCTTTTCTAGTGGGGAATGGGAACCCACTGCAATCTGAGGATCTTGAATATTTTTAGCCCAGGCCAATCTAGAAGATCAAAAAGAAATTATACAGGATTTGTGGGAAGGTATGGGGAATATGCTCTGGAATGAATAGCATTAGGGAATGATTTGAACCTACTTTCCATATGTAATAGAAGGCATTTCTCTGTCCTAAAGGGTAGGACTCTTTTTTTTTTTCCTTTGAGGTAGTGGGGACTGAACCCAGGGGCACTTTTACCACTGAGCTACATTCCCAGCCCTCTTTATTATTTGTTTGAATTTTGAAACAGGGCCTTGCTAATATGCTGAAGCTGATCTGGAACTTGGAATCCTCTAGCTTTAGCCTCCTGAGTTGCTAGGATTACAGGTGAGTACTACTGCATGCAGATGTATGTTTAACTTCTTTCCCTGAAGCAAGGAAGGAATACACTGTGATAAAAGTATAAACAGAGTCATATTGAGTCTGAGATTGCAACTGTCTGAAGCACCTTTATTTAACCCTTGAGAGGGAAGACCAAGTTGCTATTTCAAATACCACAAAACAGTTTTTGTATATCATGAGTAGAACAAAAAACTTAGCTTTGATGAGAAAAGTTTTCATTTTAAATTTAAATAAAGTTATGTGTAATGTTATCAGAAACAATTTCTAATAGTTATCTACTAGAACATGTTTCATGATTATGGTCAAAGTTTACCTTTTAAGTAGATATAATAGGTGCAGTGGTGCATGCCTATAATACCAGCAACTTGGGAGGCTGAGGCAGAAGGATCACAAGTTCAAGGCAAGCCTCAGCAACTTAGTGAGGCCCTTCTCAAAAAATAAAAAGGGCAATCCCTGGGTTCAATAACCAGTGGCCCACCCCCAATATATAACAAGGTTTTTTGCTTAAAAAAAATTTTTTTTTCAGAAAAATATAGCAGAGAAATTTGCCCTTTAAGACCAGTACAGTCACATTTAGGTATCCTAGAGATCTCTCAACCTGTTTAGTAAGCAAATTAGTTCTATATTTAGCAACCTAGATTATAAATGTTGTTTATTTAGCTTATCTTAGCAATAGAAGAAAAGGATTTTATAACAGAACTGGAAGAAGCTAACAGCGTATTTATTAAATAAAGCTAATTTCTTAAAAAGATAGACACAGATGTCTGATTTCAGATTCTCTTTTCTAAGAATTTATGTTGTTTCCATAGCAACATTTCTTGAGTTTACTATATACAGGGCACTGTACTACAACTCAGGTGGATCATTTTATTTAATCTACTAAACAACCTATTAAGTAGGTAATCATCATCCCCTATTTCATGGAGGCCATGAGAGGGTTAGTGACTTCTTAATGGGCCCAGTATTAATTTCAGAAGTGTGATGTGTCCTGCATCCTTATGTCCTTGTGCTACAGTTTGTCCTTTGATGTGTCCTGCATGACTCCTTGTGTCCTTGTGCTACACTATTTGTCCTTGTGCTACATTGTTTCCAGGAAGAACATTTTCTTGCCTGTACCCAAAATGGAAGGAAAATGATACCTACTGATCTTCTGCACTTAGACCAAACCACTCCGAGTCTGTCATCACCAGAGGCTGGGAGAGTGGGGCCTGCACTGCTCTTTGCTCCTTTGATAGTCCCCCACTGTGTCCTCTCTTCAAAGCCCCATTGGTCGCTTGCACTGTTCTTACATCCTTGTGATGATTTTCTCTGAAGTCTTTAGCTTTGGCCATCTCCCTATCAACCGCCAGCTTCACATACAGCATCTTTGCTCTTCCCTCGCTCAGCCCCTGCTCCCCTGAACTGCTCCCCAGTGCTCTAATCTCTCACTTTCTGTTCTGCAAGTACTGGTTTCTAGCCTCTAAAGTTTCCAGCCCTCTTCAGACTCTCAGCTGCTTACTGTTGACCCTCAAGAATGCCTTGAGTTGATTTCTAAGGCAACCAGGAGGAGTCACAAGCTTTTGTGTGTGTCATCACTATCCTGGCTGGAGACTACTGTGAGGGGGTGTGTGAAGACACAGTTGTTGGCAGTGAATGGACTTCACTCTGTGAGCTATAGCCAGAATCTAGAAGGGTCTGTGTTTCACAGACACAGGCCCCCTTTTCAGTGCCATCAGAGAGAGCGTCTTAAGGCAGTAAGGCATCTTTCTTTCTTTCTTTTTCTTTTTCTTTTGGCATATTGTGTATTCTTCCCATTAAGATGGAACCTGAAGAAACCCTTGGAGTAGATCCTGCGTGTGTACTTGAGAGGTGCTGGAGGATGCAACAGCATGCCAATGGTCTTATCATTTCTTGAGCTGGTGTTTCACTCAGATAAATGCTGCTATGGAGCTTTCGAGCTTTAATATAGTTTAATATATTTTTAATCAATTTATGCTCATAATTGGTCATTAAAAGATAGGGAAGCAGAAAATATTTCAGTGTTGAAACACAAACCATAGAGATTGCATCTTTGAAGGAATGTACCTATTTCCTCTAAGTTGTTTTCTTTCTAAGCTCAGCAGTGTTATCCTTTTAATGTTATTATCCTTTTAATGTCTGTGAGAGTAGAAGTGACAATTGTTCTTCAATTCAATATTGATAATTTGTCTTCTCTTTTTTCCTATGGTCACTGCCTGAGCCAGGCATTTGTGAAGTGCTAAAAGGCAATATTATATATAACCTCACATGAAGCCTCTTTCAAAGAAAAACGTGTAATTCTGAGTGTGAGCCTCCCTTTTAAAGTATAACTTACATTTAAACTATAACTTACATTTAAAAAACACATGGACTTAAAAGTAGTTTTAATTTAACTATTATGTTGTAAATTGTTTCTTTCTTCATAAGAAACTATACTATATCCTTGATTTTACACAAGTGACAGATGGCTTATGTTTTTGATAATAAAACAATTCTGCTAACAAGAATTGTATTATATTCCTAAATTTTAATTCTTCATAAAAAACTATGAAAAATGTTTAACTAGTTTGAGAAGCCCTGACTCATGAGGGAGATGATTATGGTTCCTGAATGGATAGTATTAGCAATTTCTAATGTAAACTGAACTTGAAATGGACTTCACTGTATAATCAGAGTATACTCAAGCTTCTGGCTTTTGGGATGTCTATATTTGTATGAGTCTATTTCTGGGCTCTCAATTCTGTTCCATTGACTCATTTATTTATTTTTTTTACCAATACTTGCTTAATACAGTTTTTATAGTACATTTTGAAGTCAAGTAGTGTCAATTTTCCAATTCTGTTTTCCTTCAGTATTATCTTGGTTATTTGGGCTTTCTGGCTTTCCATATAAACTTCAAATCAGTTTGTAAATATCCATAAAATAATTCCTGTGATTTTGACTAGGATTTCATGAAATTTAAAGATAACTTGGAAATAACTAATATCTCAACAATATTCATGTTCCTTCAATGAATATGGATTATAATTTAGATCTCCTTTGATTTCTTCCATTTGAGGTTTATAGTTCTCATATGGTAAATCTTGTACATGTTTTGTCAGATTTATTGGTATTGTGCTTTTAATTTTAAATTCTACTTGTTCATTTGTTATATATGAAAGTAATAACACTTTTCATATATTAATATTATAATCTATAATCTTGTCATAATTGGTTATTGTTTTTTTGATAATTATTATTACTTTGGATTCTCCATTGTCATTATCATCTGTGAACAAAGATAGTTTCTTTCTTCCCAATCTATATAACTTTCATGTCATTTTCTTATTATGTTCGAACTTCCAATATGATGTTGAACAGGAACGGTATGAAGAGACATATTTACCTTATTTCTTAGGGAGAAAACACTTAGTTTCTCACTATTAAGTTTGATGTTAGCTACAGATATTTTTTCTGTGTTCTTTATCAAGTTGAGGAAGTAACCTTTTGTTCCTGGTTTGTTGAGAATTTTAATCACACATGAATGTTGATTCTGCCAAATGTTTTTTTTCTGTAACTATTGATATGATCATCTGATTTTTCTTTTTTACCCTGATGATACAATAGATTAATTGCTTTTCTAATGTTGAGTTAGCCTTGCATACCTGAAATACTGCCTGGTGATGGTGTGTAAATCTTTCTTATACATTCTCAGATTTTGATTTGCTAGTATGTTGTTGAAATTGTTTGCATCTATGTTCATGAGATATATTAGTGTGTACTGGGTATAAACTCAGGGGCACTTGACCACTGAGCCACATTCCCAGCCCTATTTTGTATTTTATTTAGAGACAGGGTCTCACTGAGTTGCTTAGTGCCTTTTTGCTGAGGCTGGCTTTGAACTTGTAATTTTCCTGTCTCAGCCTCCCTAGCTGTTGGGATTACAGATGTGCGCCACCACACTCGGCTAATTTTCCTTATTTGCAATGTCCTTGGTTTTGATATTAGAGTAATGTTGGCCTCATAGAATGAGTTAGTGTTTCATCTGCTTATATTTCTGGAAAGGCCCATAGAGAAGGTATAATTTCTTCCCTAAATATTTAGAATTTAGTAGCGAACCCATTTGGGCCTGGTGCTTATTTTCTAAGGTTTATTATTTATTGAATGAATTTCTTTGATATAGGCCTATTCAGATTATCTGTTTATTCTTGTATGAATTTTGGCAGATTATATCTTTCAGGGAATTAATTTATTTCCTCTGAGTTGTCTTTGTGGGCACAGTATTCCATTATTGTCCTTTTAATGTCTGTGGGACCAGTCGGAATGATGATATGTGTGTGTGTGTGTGTGTTGCTGGGGACTGAACTCAGCCCTTCCTCTTTACTTCTGATATTGGTAATTTGCCTTCTTTTTTCTCCCTACCTATCTTTTCTACTTCTTTTTTTAGTACTGGGGTTAGAACCCAGGGCCCCACATATGCTAGGTAAACACTCTACCACTACACTGTATCTCCAGCCCTCTTCTTTTTTCCTTTTTTGGTACTAGGGATTTAACCCAGGGGCACTTCACCATTGAGCCACATCCCTTTTGAGACTGGGTCTTGCTGAGTTGCTTAGGGCATCGCTATGCTGCTGGGGCTGGCTTTGAACTCTGGATCCTCCTGCCTCAGGTGCACTAGTTTTTGGGATTATAGGTGTGTGTATTGATCTTTTCAAAGAACCAGCTTTTGGTTTCATTGATTTTCCTCTCCATTTCCTGTATTTCAATAGATCGATTTCTGCTCTTTCATTATTTTCTTCTTGTCTTGAATTTGTTATATTTTACAATTTACTGATTT